GAATCATTTAAACGTGAATATATTAGAGAAAATAAAGATGAACTTGCACAAAACGAAGTTTCTGAATTTACATATTCCTCCTTAACACGTATACGGAATATTTTTTTAACTTTTACTTTTACTACATTTGCAATGTCAACAATTTTTTTCATTGTACACAAGGTTAAACATAAATTCCATATAGATAAAATAAAAATCATTAAAATTTATGTTACACATTATTCAGAAATTTATATGTGATAAATGACCAATTCATACAAGTACAACGCCGTCATTTAATTATTAGTATACGTCTTATCGTTCGTATTTACAACCTATGCTAGGAAAATTAAAGAAGTTTTTTAATAACAAAAATAAAGAATATCTCACATTATTAGATTCATTCGAAAGTTTATACAAAAGTTCTACTGATCAGGGCCATAGAATAGAATATGGTTCAGTAGACTACACCTAATATAAGTATAATAAGAATTAACTAATAAATCATTTTTTTCTAAGTCCTCCAATAAAGTAAATATATATTTGTGGTAAAAAAACAAATAATTACAAGAAAGAAAATACAACAACATGGTAGTTAAATTATAAAATAATTCATAAATTTTCTGTAAATTAAGACAATAAATGAAATGTTAAATTTGAAATAATATCAGAGGATCAGCGGTAATTATAATTATTATGAAAAGAACTCAAATAAATCATAAACTGTAAACATTAATTAAAAATTATTATATAATATAGTCAAATATATTCAAATAGAAATATTAAAAATTAGATGCATTAATTCTGTTAATAATTAGCCATTTTTATAATGCTATAATTATATATTAAATATAATTGAACAAAGAAAAGTAATCATTTATTTAATGATAAATATAAATAAATTCAATATAAAAAAAAACACATGATGATATATTATTATATATAATAGTATCATGGATGAATATATTAATTCCAAAAGCATTATGACAAAACATAATTATATCTCACCTCCCAGGTATACATTGAATATAATATAAATATAATCTTACATACATTCCTATAATTAAATTTGAAGGTGATATATAGACGTATATTAATAATATATGTGATAGTGAAATCAATATTTTCTTATAATAAATTATATAATACTTAGAGCTACAATTATAATATATTAATTATAAGCAACAAAAGATATATATAAAGTTAATTTGGCACAAAAATAAAGACAATGCTTAGATTTCAATACTATTACATATCTTAATAAATATAATAATAATTTATTAAAATATATTATTGCTTATATTTATTTTAATACTGAAATATTTATAGTTCAATAAATGTATATTTGTAAAATTATATTGTTTGCAAGATAAAATTCTTTTGTTCAGCATACATACATTTTATTGTTTTTCTTTTTTTTTTTTATATAAGACTACATATAATTATTATATAAATATCAATAGTATATTTATCACATTACATAATGTATATGCATGAGCAGAAATATATATAAATGCATGTAATAGCTTTACAAATTATATCCCGTTTAACACAAATTATTTGATCAATAACAATATATATATAAAATAAATTTACATTATAGATAATGTATTAGAGAGATTTATATGATTATAAAAGATAAATTTATTACACGTCGGAATTTTTTATTGTTGCATAAAAAAAATTGATTATTTTTAATTAATATATTTGTTGTTCTTGTATATATCTATCTTATACATACTATCAATTATGTCTTAATATGCAGACTACTAAATAAGTTGATCTATTCCATCAAAAAATTTCACTACAGTATGTGCCAAATGTATTTATTTTAATAGAAATTATACATCTTTAAGTTATGTTTATTATATTACATATGCATTTTTTATGGATTATATTTCTATTCACCATAATTAAAATATACATAATATATCTGAAAAAATATTATAATACACCTTTTTATTAAAACTATAGAATTAAGCTCCATGATCTTACATATATTGAAATATTATAGTAATATCTTTAAAATTTAGTATGATAAAAAAAGTTTACACTATTCTTCAATTTTGTTCGTTCAGTCAATTAACAAAATTCATTAAAATTTCCAAATATTCAATTAAATTAAATACAACTATTGAATCTCCATTGTTTTTATTGTATAAAAGTCATATTTTTATAATATTCTTAATAAATATTTATTGATATTAGTATTTCATGTTCTTATTCGTACTATATTTTTCTGTTATATTAGACGTATATATATTGTTTATTTATTTTTTTTGTAATAAGTGTATTTTATCACTTTTGTGCGTAAAGATTATTATTTCCTATAATGTGTCTAACATTTTCTTACGCAAATGAAATATAGTAAGTCATATAACTATTAGCGCTATATTATAATAAAAAAAAATTCTATATATTTTCATTTTTTTTATTAACACTATATAATGTAATTATGATTCTCGCCTTGTTTTATATATTTATTATATCCCTATTATTAAACAAAATTGTTCTTTATTACAACACATGTTTACATTCATATATTGACATTATTATAATATATTTTGTAATTTTTAATTGTATTTCTAGAATGAGTTCATGGATTAAACAAATAATGTTTCCGATTCTCTAAATTTTAAACCATAAAAATTGTTAAATGCATCAGTCTTGCCATTGTACATGGTATTAAGTTCTACAATATAATGTATAATTTTAAAATGTTTAAAAGGAATATATTTAAAATATATTACAAATGTTCTAGACATATTTATATAAAGAAAAATACTTAGAAACTATTATATATAATATATTCCTTTTCACACAACTATATAAATATTATTTATTTATATCAAATATTACAAAAAAAATATGACTACATTTTTTTGTTAATTTTCCTAATACGCTTTGTTTGATTCCATTTCTGTATATTATGTAAAACATACAGTTTATCTAAAATTTTTACACTATTTAAGGTTTCATAGCTTTACATTATCTATTAAGGATGAATAAAAACGTTCCATTAATTTTTGTAAAAGTTATATAATATACTAAATATAAAGGAATTTGATTTTCAATTACGGTACTTATTTAACAAATTTTTAATAGAACATGCAACTATGAATTAAAAAAGGAAAAAAATGCATAATACCTAGCTATTCATCTCGCCTAAATTATCAGTGATTATAACATTCATGGAAAAATGAAAACATATGCTCGTTATAATTAATTTTGTATCAAATAAAAGTCCTAATTTATAAAAAATAATTTATATTTTTTAACAATTTATAAATAAAAAAATAATTTAATAAAAATTTATAAAAAAAAATATAAAATAAATGTAATAAAAATTAACACAATTTCTACTGCAAAATATATGTCTGTTATACGCTTATATGGTACTGTTTCAACATTACTAGTACTTCAAGTGAACCATAAATTTAACATTATGAAAATATATGGTATAATTCATGCGCAAATAAAAACAATGCATTTTTCATAATTATCATTTTTCATTTATTCAAATCAACTTAAGCTATAAATCTAATATTACTTCACACAATACATATTTTCGTTTCACCTAATGAAGAAGTACAACTCTATTTCATAAAATACCTAAAAGAGAAAATAAAAAAGCGATGTTTATAAAATGAAAAAAATAAAATTCCTTAAAATTAATGAACAGTGAAAATATATAATATATTTTTTCCAATCCAAAATTAATAGCTTTCGACCATAATGTTTTATTTTAATAGTATTTATATATTTTTATAATAAGTACCATAATCTACTAAAAATATAAAAATTAAAAATGTACTATATATAATTTTTTATGGAATTGTCTCAATTGTTCTGATATATGATTATATCATAAAATTAATCTTTTCATAATGTGTTTATAATTTATATGTAGTAAAATATATGAGCATATTTTTAATGTACATTTACATTGTATAATAATTCCACGTTATTAGTTATATAATGTGAAAGCGTAGATAAATTTGGTGTATGAAATATGATGTATAATTCACATAATTCAATTATATTGATGTGCTTATATCAATTCTTGTATAATAACAAAAGAATTCATTAACTCTAACCCCTAAAGCAAAAAATAAATTTAAATTATAGATGATCAAAATGCATTATATATAATACTTAAGTTTTTACAAGGAAAAATCATAAGATAAAAACGTAAGTATCAGAATTAATACAAAAAATAAACTATGAATTAATATACATCGGGAAATAAATCAAATTATATTGTTATGATTATTAATATTTTCTACTAATAAAATTTGGACACAATTTTATGTTATGCAAATTTTTTAAGAACGTTCAAGTACATTATTTATATGTTAATGAATATCTTTTTACACGTATTACCAATTCAATAATTTGCAATAATATTTTTATTTTACTCAAGATTTACTATGAACATGTTTATATATTTATAAAATACAAACCCACAAATCATGTAATCTAAAATAAATAATACCTTAATATATATATTTATTCCAATGTATTTTTTTTCAAATAAATAACTGTAATACTTAAAAGTTTTCCTTTACTACAATACACAAAAATTAGATACAGTGTTCAAGCAAAAATATGTATTTAATATTATCATGCACCTTCCTATTTTTGCATAACATAATAAAGTATTGTGTAAATGCATTCTTATTTCACTTATTTGATCACTTAAATTATTTCACTGTTAACATATAGATAGTAATATATTTCCTGGTAGCCTAACCTAATGATAACATCTAATATATAGAGATATTTTTTTCCATTCCTTTATTTATTTTTATGAACGATTTTTAATCTTTCTTTTTAAATGAATAAGATTAGTGCTTCACTTTCTTTACTTTATGATACTATTACACAAAAACTATTTATTGTGAACTAAAATATCATTTAATGATATTTCTTATGTTTAATGATTTTTTATATTCTTTGATGTTTTACAAACATAAATTATTGATACCTATAAAGACTTTGCAATTATATAAATTCCAATTATGCAAAAAATAATTATACCTGAGAGATTAAAAGTAATATTAATATATTATGTACAGTTAATACATTTATATTGAATTTACCATTATGTTTATTTTGAATAAGAAAGAAAGTATGTTAAATTCTTATGTATACATACATATAATATTAATTCTATTTAGGCATACTTTAATGGTAACGCGTTAGGATTGCCATCAGTTAATTTTTATAAAAATCTGGATTATGATTTAATTTATTTTGGTCATAATGATATAAGGGATATGCGTGTTAAAGAATTAGAGGAGTATCATAACATATGTGAAAAATTCCTTAAAAAATATAAAAATATTTGGATTAAAAGTCTATGTGCAGTACTCCTAAAATACTTAAAAACGTCAAGTAAAATATCCAATAAACAAAATAATGATTATGAGGATTGCACACTTTTGAGCTATTGGGTATATGATAGATTGTCTGGAATATATCATAAGTACCCCCGTGTTATTAAAATTATGTATGCTAACCTTCAACTATTATGGAATTATCTTATTGAACATTCAGTATATAGTTCATTTTACGATAAATGTAAACCAGACTTTCATATACCAAGTCAGTATAACTGGAAAAAGAGAAAGGAGTTATATGATTATTGTGTCGACTATCAAACACTTTTTAATACTGCTATAAACTACGATAAAAAGCGCTCTTATATTTACAAATATATAAATAATAAAGCTCCATTATATGCTGAGTTTGACAGGCATTGTCCTCAAGATGATAATGATAAATGTCCAGAATTTTTAAGAAAATGTAAGGATCATAATCCAGAAAATGTTTTAAATCATATTGAGTGTAAAATAAAATTACGTACTGAAAAAACTCAGGATTCTTCTACAGCATGCCCACATGAATTCAGCTCACATTCTCACACACAATCGAATAGTTCATTAGAAGATCAAACCGGTAAACCATTTGTACCTTCATCTGATGATGCTTTTGGATCAACGGATGAACTCACTATTGACGATGATTCATCAATACATATATATAGAGTAGATGGTTTTTTTGATTTATTTATAAACAATGACAGTTCGAACATTGTAGGTATATTAGGAAAAATATTTCTTGGATTGGTTTTATTTACTACTCTTTCTGGAATTTTATATAAAGTAAATATATATTATTTTAACGCAAAATTAATGTACATGTTTTTTAATAGTTAATCACTTTAAAACAGCAATAATTAATAAATAAATATGATTTTTTAATTTTTCATATATGCTAGTTTACACCCATAGGAATCCGCTTGCGCAAAGTATTTAAACGAAAAAAAAATATCATAAGAGGAAAAAATAGACATCGTGATGAATTATTTGGCTATCCATCAGAATCACATTATCCAAATTATGTAAATGAAGATGAACAATATATAGGTTATCATACTGAGTAATATTCTATTTTTAACGTTATCCTTTAATAATCTATACTTTAAAGATACAACAAAAATAAGAATATATCCCTTTAAAATGCCATATTGATGAATATAAAAAATAATTTTATAAAAAATTAAAATGTATTAATCAGTATATTGCAAATATATTTATATAAAAGGTAATAAAAAAATAATTACTAATTTCCTTAAATAAATAGATTATACATGAAAAAGGTTAATTTATATACATACAAAAATTATATTTGTCCAATTTTACAATATGTTATGAATTTTTTTTCAAAGTAGCTAATATATTAATTTCTAGAGGGGGTTGTAATATTTGTATTTAAGTAGAACTTTATAACTTTTTTTATTTATATACTCTATATAAGTTAATCATAATACAAAAGTAAGAAAAATAAATTTATACCATATATATTTTTTAATATTCACTCAATTTCTATAGGCTTAAATTAATTGAAACACACGAATATATATAGAAACAAAATGGTAAGTTATGAGTTTCTATATTATAAGTAACATTATTAATTTATTCATATTCAGTATAAATTATTTTACTAGGTTATTGTAAAATTTATTACATTCTTAATCTAGTTATTTTGTATCTGAAAATATTAATAGATAATAGAAATAATTAAGAGTCACAAAGAAGTCGTCATTCAATTTTTTATGATAAATATATATAATTTTATTCTATAATTAACATTCATGATGTTATAGATATATGAAAACTAAAATCTCCCCTAATAAAATATATGTAATTGTTGGCTCATATAATATAGAAACATTATACAATCCGTTCATTCATTATACGCTAATACATTAATTGACAAAATATTATTTTAATTACTGATAATTTAAGTATGATGATAACTCATGCTAATATTTTTAAATCATATAAAATATATCAACATTTTTAAAATATTTATTTATACATATATTATATTCTGTTATTTTTTTTTATTATTTTTATCTATAAATAATTTTTTTTATTAATTTTTATTATATTTTTTTTCTTGCTATTATTCTGTTTTATAAGAACTATATTTCAAAATAGAATGATAGAATACCACGTTGCATAACACATATATATATGTGGTTTTTAATGTAATTCTCCGTTGTAATTCTTTATATATAAAAATATTTATCAACAATACACTAATCTATTCGTTTCTATGCATTCATTAGATTTTGTGTCAATGGCATACACTACTATTAATAGTTAAAAAAAAAACTATAAATTGTGTATAATTTAATGGTTTGTGATGAATATTTTTACTTTCATAAGAGATATAAGGTTTAAAAAAAAATAAATAAAAAATAGCATGAAAAAAAACATTAAAATATTGAAAATATTAATGGCTAGATTTAAATATTAATATTCATCCGATCTATTAATAAATTATCCTCATCCCTACTACATATTCCATATATTTGTGGAACATCCAGGGTAGCATAATAATAGGAAACAATTATTACTCTAAATTTAAATTATATAAATAGTTCATAAAACATTCATTATATAGCTAGCATTATATATTTATTAAATATATTCCATTTAAATTTACAAGGAAGTAATACTTTTATTTGAGTATTAAAAATACAAAGAAATAGATAATAAGCATATTACACAAATTTCACATATATTTATTGCCATATACATTTAGAATTTTGTGTATATAATACCTTACTCGAATTCGGTGTAAAATACTAAAGAATTTATTTTTGAAAAAAGTGTGCACGGCTTATCCTATATAAGATACATTTTCCATAACAACTATCAAGATTTTACTTGATTTAAATTATTGTATGGCTATGAATAGGTATGCATTAGAAAAAGAAAGAATTATATTGAAGAATTTGTGTTGAGCAAAAAATTAACTAAGAAATTTGTTAATTAAGATTATTCTCATATTTATCTCCCTTATAATCCATTAGCGAATCTGTAATAGAAAAATCGTAAATTTTGTTAGTTCCGTATACTAAATTGAAAAAACCTTTTATTATTATCTCTAACCTATGCCCTCATTTAATATGTAGTATTTTTGGATACAGGTAAAAGGGAATATATATATGAAAGTATATATATTTATATAATGTTCATTTATTCAAATTTAGTATAATGAAAAAGAATATGAGGATATTAAGTTATAAATAAATGAAACTAAATAATTAGGTTATTTCTATTTGTCTATGATTACAATGTTTTATTTATAGATACATCTCCATTTTCTATAATGTTTTAATAATTTTGATATTTTGTTTATACAATATATATATATTTTATTAAATAAAATGTACATATACTATAAAAATATATTTAAAGTTTTTATCACAAAATATTTCAATTATTTATATTTTAATATTCAAATGAAATAGTTTGTTTTTTATATTAGTTTACTCCATTTATTTTCATATATAAAACCTCTAGTAATCCTGATTAGTATTTTCATGAAAGATTTAATGGAAATAACGCAAAAATAAATAAGGGAAAACGGAGAATATAATATATTTATAAAACATTATTTAAATTAATGCAAATAAGCATTGTAAATATATATATTACATTCAAAATTTTATAAATTCTGACAAACCGGTTATTATATTATGAAACATCGATGATATTGAAAGAATAAATGACAAATCATTATAAATACGATAATAACATACTTTTCGTTCATAAAACATAATAAAATATTTTATGTTTCAAATATGTATTATAATAACATTTCTCAGTTCTCCTAAAATTAACATATATTTTGCCCTATATACAATTATAATATATATGATATATATATATATATTTAATAGTTTTTTACATTCTTAAATAAATAAATATAATGTTTTATAAAATATTAAATCTATTTATGCATACTTTGTATGGTATATAGTTATAATTAATGTAAAATATGGTAACTCACAAAATAAACATTTTAACATTTTTTTTAAAGAAAAAAAGAGTTCATAAAATACTACATGCTAGATCTTATTCAATAATTCATTTTATAAATTTCAGTTTTAATTAAGTATATTATTTTAAAATGTAAAACAAAGGATAAGTGAAAAGATTTTATATATATGCTTCAAATTTTAATGCTTACTTGTGTTATACATTTTTAATTAATTACAACTTTATTAAAAATTTATGATTTTTACGTAAAATATAAATACACTTACATCATATTTTATCGTGATATAGCATCTATTATTGTCTAAATTATATATTTATGCTTTGATTTTTATCATTTATATATATAAGGAATATATCATATGTAGCAAAACAAAATTAATATGTTTTTTGTGCTACAGCATTATATAATAAAGCTATTGCAAATTTATTTGGATATGAATAGTATAATTGTAATAAAATAGAATAAACTTCTTCTTTATGTAGTGTGTATTAATATTTAAAAATCGACACCTACATACTATTATTCCTTACTATAATATATTGTTCATCTCTAAAATAGTATAGTATTATCTAATATGGTGAAAATCATTGTAAAATATGATTATAATAATGTAGATTGTAGCATAATATTTTATCACATTCTTTTCATGAATATTTTAAAATATTTTTAAGAATAATTTAATTATTATAATGTTATTATTTTCTTTATTTAATATAAATCATTAGATTCATTTTTTTCAGAATATATAGAAATTATGGAACAATATAATACTGACCCTTATATTAATGGTATATTTCAAGAAGAATATGGTTATATTGAAAGAACTTATAAGAATGATCATCATTTAAAAGTTATAAACAAAAACTTCCTTAAATATTTTCCTTATTTATATAATATATATTCTTATAACACTAACACCAAAAAAATAAAAGAAGCGTTTCAATACTTGTATTATCGGGTATATAAGAATTACTCAAAAAATTGAATAAACAAAGAATATATGAAAGAAATTTATGATAAATTAATCAATAAATATAATGAAAATAGTGTTATTAAGCTATTAAAATGATTTTATTCCGAAAATATAATCAGTCATGATTGGTTAATAATTACAGATATATGTATTTTAAATACAAAATTTAACGATATAAAAAACTCTAATTTTACATTATTCAATCCTCCCCTCCAAAAAATACACCACTATTAATTACAATTGTCATAGAAAAAATTTACATGGTGTTATATTTTTATAAATTACTCATATATATATAAATTCACTATAGATTTTATTATGCTAATTTTTTTATTTTTGTAGCGCATATATTTCACTATTTTTTTCATTTTTTACCTCATAATATGAAATACACCCGTAACTATAATATGTTTTATATTCACATACTCCTAAATTATTTAGAATTAATAGAGAGATTACCTATAATTGTCACTTCCGTGAAGGTATTCTAAATAAAATTGGCTTATGTAGCAAATTTTCTATCTGTAAATTAACTTATATAATGATTAATAATCTTCGTCTATCTCATTTTGAGCTTTAGCTTATATCTATATCATTATTCATATTTCATATCTTGTTCAACAAATGTGGATTAATATGTAAAAAGTGAGGAATGTAATTGCTTAATAAATATGGACCTAACATATATAAGTTATAAGACTTATTGTAAAATGCTTATATGCATAATTCTAATTATTGTTTGTCATATAATAAAATTATATCCGTATAATTATGCTCAATATTTTAGCCAACTATGGTAACATAATGAAAATAATATAGTTTTAATATATTACTATATGCTCCTACAATATATTAAGAAGAATAAATTATTACATTTCATATATTAGTTGGAAGAGATTAAGCATAATACTCGGTTTCATTAGGATCAACAAGTTACAAACCTTTTAATATAAAATCCTAACTATTTCATGTTTTCCAACTCCTACATACTTAACTTCTCATGGGATCTTTAAATTGTCAAAATAAAGCTAGAGTCACTTGCTTCATCATAAGTAGAACAAACTTCAGAATGGAATTTAATAGATTCATAATTCAAAAAGGTTTACATGCATAAAAAACATCTATTTTAATTCATTTTGTATGTTAGGAAGATTTTCTATTAAGAATGCAACTAAATAAAAATGTTTATAACCAACATATTTATTTTACGCTTGACTTCTATTATAGTATTTTATTTTTACCTGATCATGGATGCAGTGTGTAAAATAATAACATGCTTTTATATGTTCATTTTATATTTGTAACAGGTAATACATTAAAATTATTTATAACCCTTATACAAAGGGTTGTGTGGTAGTAGATTAATTTTTATTTATTGCCATTGTTAGTATTATCATAGCTTATAATTTTCGCCTTATCAAATTCATTATATTTTTTACAGGTATCTAATTTGTTAAATTCTACATTTTGTTAATTAGGAAAAATATATACATCATATTAGTTTAAAATATAAATTTTCTTAAAATATATAGTCTTTAACTGTATTTTAAATTATATGGAATATCTACATAACCTTCTATCCATATGTTAAATCCTAAATATACCCAATATATCCTTATTAAGGCTGCCATACTATATTTAATGTATAACTACATCAAATATAGATGTTCTTCACCTTCGTCTATTTACTAATAATATACAATAGAATGTCATCCACTGATCTATTATTCATAAATTAATTATAAAAGAGAGACAATATAATATATGTAAAATCCTTTTTCACTAACAATAAACTCTTTTATTGTACTATTACTATCATATAAAATGGATATTTTTAATTATACATAAATTTATTAAATAATTTGTTCTTCAAACAATTATGAATATAATAGGATGTGTGTGACTGTATTAATAATGTGTAATGAAAAAAAATAATTCTCATTTCCTCAATTTCCAAAATATAAAGCTCTAACTTTATTATTCAAATTCTATGCCTTTTCAAACATCCCCTATTTAAAACTTCTGTTATTATGTGTACACTTTCAATATATATATTATACATTTCCTTTTACTCTAAAAAGTGATAGATCTTTTTATTATTCTATTACCCTGTTTCATACTTTATGAATATCAATTATTTTTCCTTACATTTTTAAAAATAGACATAAAAAATTTTATAGAGCCATTGAAACATAATAATTCTGAATAATAGAATAAACTGAATATGCAGGAATTTAATTACGTTTCCTGTATATAAAACAAAATACGTATCAAAAAATTTTATAAATACATTGAGTTATTCGCTGCTGCGAAGTTAATTAATTAAATATGGAATCATTTTGGAATTAAATTTTAGAAAAGCAGAAAAAAATACATGGTTCTAGTATTAATTTTTTAACATATAATAAATAAACATTTAAAGATTAACATTTTCACATATTAATATAAATTATGTTTTGTGACTAATCATTTGAAATAAAAAAAATTACATTTTATGTAATAAATAAATAACTAGTTCAATGTTTTAATCACTGCTACATATTATGTGTTAAATTGAAATATTTTACGAATAAAATAAAAATACTTCATATGAATGTCATTCATAATATAAATCTTAATGAAAAATACATTAGTGAAAGAAAGTAAAACATAAACTTGAAACACAAATACAATGTTATATAATGTGTTTACAACAAAAAAAATAATCCATAACACCAAAAAATTAGTTTCTATTTGCAATAGAAATAAACATTTTTATTTGAATTCAGAATTAAAAAAAAATGAACTCAGAAACAATAAGCTAAGATTATCTATTAATACACGTTGCGTATTAGTATTTAAATATATTATGTTTACTCGTTCAAACAAATTTATGATTTATTGTTTAATAAATGTGTAATTATAAAGCGTTATTAATGTAAAAATTAAAATAATTAGGAAAATTTTACTCTTGAAAGAAATATACCTATGTCATATTTTTAATATAGGGCGTTGAAGCACATTTATTTTACATTACCCTTATTAATGTGAAGTATTCCTAGACACACTATTATATTTAGTGGTCTAGTATTTGTAGCATTACCAACCAATCTAATTCTGCATATATTGGTAATATATATTATTTCTTATGCTCCCATGCTGCGTGTTATTATTTCTTGGACTTTCACATTCTTCGTATGGCACTTCTTGCATAAAATTCTTCTTTAGTCTCTTTTTCTTTATCGTTCGTTTTGACAACAGAGATCCAAGAGGGGTAAACTACAAAGTAGAAACGTGCATACATTTTGTCATATATTACTTATATGTTAAATTAATATAGTATTATTAAATTAATTTAATCTAATAAAATATATTATTTCTATATAAACATGAAAAGGTTTTACTCACTTTATATAGTAAAAAAAGAATAATATAAGTTCCCAAAAACGTTGAAAATACTGTTGAAGCAACAGTATTTACCGTTGAGGGACATTCTTCACAGTATATTTGTCGCTGTGGTGAAGAAAAAAATTCAGTTTTATCAATGAGAGGGCATTCTCCAATATGAACATTGTCGTTTTCAGGGGTGCTTAACTTTGGAAGCTCTTTTGATTTACATCTGGTACAAATATCCTTAATTCTTGGGCACATACTTTTTACCGTATTTGCATGACTTGGTAATTCTTGGACACAAACATAATTCTCTGGTACATGCAAATAACATACAGGAGGAAGTAATTCACTAGGAATGTAAGCATTTCCTGCATATATTTCTTTCCTTTCACAACGATTATTTGCACTAGTATTATTATTATTAAGATCATCCCATATTGATTCAATATGATTTTTCCACATATTCACATTTGTTTCACATTTTTCTCCATGTGTGAAGAAGCTTCTCTTATTGTCCAACCATTTGTTCAACATTTCACAAGCAAGTGAACTTTTCCAATACTTAATATTATCAAAATAAACCTTGGATTCTTCATAATTTTCTATCAGATATAAAGCAGTATGTCTTAAAATAGGATCATTCATATTTTTAATTTTGTCAATGTATTTTTTATAAAAATTTTCTGTAAAGTTAGTGCGAACTTTGTAAAAAAGTCCATAAAAATAAATAGCACACGCATTTTCCTATAAGTAAAAAAAAATAAAATATTATATATATGTTATAGTACTACATAAAAGTATTATAATGTTGTATGATACGAAAAATAGTGTTTTTATATTTGTTATCTTGTATTTATAATGATTTTGCGCAAAAAATAAATGAACCTTCTTGTAAGAATCTGGACAATCAATTTTCTGCATTTTATTATAATTTTATTGGAAATTCAATAATAAGATGGTAAAAAAATATACGTAGCTGCATATATATTTACATAATATATAAAAAAAAAAAAATTTAAGGAAATATGTTTATAAAATAAACCATAAAATGTAAAATAATAATAAATGAATTGTTCTATAATTTATATATAAATTTAATACACCATAAAACATATATGAATATAATTATTAATATATATAAATAATTTTTATAAGATGGACAACATCATGAATAATTAACATTAAAGCTGTTTATCATTGATTCTCATACAACCATATTCAACTTTATTTATAATTTTGTGCTATTTTACTAAATTATCTACTATTATACGTATAGGATAACATGTTCAATATAGCACCATTTTTTGCCACATTCTTGTATCATAAAATAAAAATATACGAAAAATGAAGTTACGTAAAAAATATTATTATTATTTTTTTTGTATTAGTATAAATTTTATTAATAAAAAATTGAAATATTAAAAAAAATATATAATATTTATATGGAATGCTTTACTCTTATACGAACTTTAACAATAATTTTTTTTATATAAAGTAGAATATATCTATAAATATTATTAAAAATTATCATATATATTTATTTTATAATTAGTTTTAATATTATTTTTTTATAAATTATTTTTTTAATAAGGATAAAATTATGTAATAATAATATATTGGTGTATAACATCAGCTTTATCACAATTAATTAAGCTTGAGTAAATAAATATTTTTAAAATATTTTATATAAAATGTTAGGTTCTGTTAATTATATATGTTCTTTAAATGGTTTTTATTCATAATTATTCTAAAATATTTTTTTATGTTATCCAATTTACTTATCAATTTTCTTTGATAATCTTTTTATAATGTTTACAGAAACGTGTTCATTTGATTATAAAAATGTACTTATACATTATTCATGAAACTATCTCATGGTTCATGTCTTAAAAATATCATTTTAATAATGTTCGTTTACCTAAACTTGCTAACCTTTTGGAAACAATTATTAAGTGTATTGTATTATTTTCATTCTTCACCAAAAATATTCAGGAGGAAAAATGCTATGAGTACTATTATGAAGTCTTTAATACGTATCCCAGCTTATTTACGATAGATAAGACAAGTTATATGGATGAAATTAAGTACTTTCCTGATCCAATTTTAAAATATGTTGCTTTATATCTTTATTATAATTACGGAACTTCCAAACATCGCTATGTTACAGGTTCTAATTATCAAGGAAATAAAGCATGCCATATGTTGAATAGGTGGTTAGATCAACAAAGAAGTTTTTATACACATTCAGAAAAATGTTATGATAACATAAATTTATGGACAAAATTCCTTGAACCATTGTGGGATAAGATAAAAAATCATTACGGCGGAAACACATGTGAAAGGTATAAGGCGATTTCAAATTCAACACAAATACCAGATGAACTGAAAGATTTACCCTGTAATAAACTCTACCCTGTAAATTATAAATGTATTAATCCTTCTGAAAAAAATGGATCTACATTGGATAACTGTTGTCACAAGCTTCAAGATGCATGCTCCATTTGTCAACCGTATCATGACTCTCCAGAGTTATTATATAATCAAAACTCGCAACATAATGTAACAAGTCAGGCTCTTGCAAGTTTTCCTCAAATAGTTCAAACAGGACCCCAAAAAATGTGTTCCAAGTGTCCATCTAGGATAAATATTATTGCACCTTCGATGTGTATTACGTTATTAGTATCCCTCTTCATTGCTTTTCTCCTGTTTGAAGTAATTAATAGATAATCGCATTTTTTAAGATATGTTATATTTTATTAGCTTATATTAATTCATTTTTACTAAATTAATATAAAAACATATATCATAAATTACGAATTATATATATCTATTCTTATTAGTACACCCCTCTTGGATCAAAAATGTCAAACCGAACTGTGAAGCCAAGTATGTTAAAGGAACATTTTATCGAAGAATTTCCATATGAAGAATACGAAACATATAGAAATAGTGATCACCATGCGAAAAGTAGGAGTAACCATATATATTACCAATCTACGAATTATTAAAATTGTAGATATAATTATAAATATTCTCCTGTCCCATGAAAATGGTTGTCCAAGTGTAATATATATAAATTTAGTATATAGAGTTTAAAAGTGACACATTAATATATTTTAAATATCACATATTCATATATTTATACGAAGAATATAATGTGTCCAGAAAAATTTAATTATTACCTGAAATAGTAAAGCATATATCATATACCATATCATTAATTAATGTAAATACATAAATAATACAAACGTAAAAAAGTAAGGAGTGATATGTGTTACTAGAAAAATTCAGATAGTTACATATTTCTTGCGTCTTATTTAATAGGGCAATGCAAATTGAAAGCGATGCTAATAATACAAGCAAAAAAAAGAGTTTGTAAAATAAATGATAAAATATATTATACTAAAAATCCATTTCCTAACATTCATTCATTTATACAATAGTCTTTTGTTTTAGTATTTTTTATTCATATATATAAAGAATGGAAGAAAATCATTAATGCAATGTATTGTAAGATTCATAAGTTACATAAATATCTTAAACATGATATGTAACAAATATTTATTATTAAACAAAATTCAATATAAAATTTAAATTATATTTAATTTTATATACTTATATATATGCATAATTTTAATTAATATTTATGTGTTAATAATAAATTTTTTGTGTTATAATATCATTTGTTAGAATAATTGAGATAACTGTATATGCATATTTACAGTTAATACAATAACTCATAATATTCATTTTATATTATGCTTACTCAAATATTGTATTTAACATTTTTTTTGTTATTTTTTTGTCTAATAATATAATGCATTTAATAAAATATTATCTTTATACAATATATATCATAATGTTTTTATTTATTTATATATTTTTTTAAGCTTATTATTCAACAATTGTTTATATATAATACATTTTGATATATAAATAATCCATTTTTCTTATTCACTATCATATTCATAAAAACTACCTTTGTTTAGCACTAGTTGTAATCAATGATACCTAGTGTAAAATAAAAACTCCATGAACTATATATAGTTCATTACCTAAATGAAAAGAATGATATAAATTATGTTATATCTTCGTAGTTGAGCATTATTCCATTCATTTTTTTATAATGTGTTTATTGTAACAATAAAAAATTGATGGTTTATAATCCAATTTATGCTATCTACTTGTACAGAAATATAAACTTTAGAAATAATTATATCAATTTATGTAAATTATGTTTTATAGAAGTATATAAGCATAACAATGCATTCCTATCCTTTTTATGTATATTAATTACGTATCTCTACATAATTACTGTCGTAAAGTGTTCTTTTTTATTTATCATTAATAACAATGCGCCTTTCCTTATTCATAATTAAGCAATATATTTTTTTTCATTAATAAAAGCTGTGTATAAGACTATATAAAGTGTATAATATTACGTCCTAGTTATTTCTTCTAATATATAAATGTATATATTCATAAATATAAAATATCATGAGAAAATATGTGATGTTATGTATAAATTTACTACAATAATTCTTCATTCATACTTATTTGTTATAAATATACCCAATATAATGTTGTGGTATGCGTTATTATAAGTTATATATTTATACACTATAAAAATATTAAAAATAATTTATAATTTCTCTGTTTTGTAAAATTTCATTATGTATTTATAACCCTAGTTAATTATTATTTTTACCTTTGTATTATAAAATAACATAATTAATACTAAACAAATGTTCATTTTAAATAGTATATTTAAAGTATAGATAAATATTACATAAACTATGTACATGCTCAGAAACTAGTTTTATTTTTTAATTTATCTTCTGTCTTTTTAAAGAATCATACGTCAATAATTTATATGAACGCATTTGCATTTGTAGCATGAAAATATAAATGCATTTTATCATAAACCTTCATAACATTCTCTTTTCTTAAAAGAGATAAAAATTTAATTATTTCTAATCCTGACTCAGGTTAATATATTATATATATGTATTTCATACTAATTTGTACTCATATTAATTGTTTTCTTATGTATTTTTTTATTATAAAAATTAATATTAAATTCAATCCCACCAATTAACATAATTACATGGATATAGAAACAATGTTTAAAAAAGTAAATATCTAATTTTTACACAAAGCCATAAAAAATGTATATTAATACAAATAAGAAAGAAAAAAAAAAGTTCTACGTTCTCTATTGTAAGTAGTAATATATACATATCAGAAAAAAGTTTCTAAAAAATTTAGATTACTGGAAAGAGCTTAAGAATAGTTATGCAATTTTCTTTCAATTTCATATCTTAATGTTCTTCACATGAATTTTATTTCCTTTGATACAAATTTTAATATGTAAAGGTGGAATATAAGAGGGATTACAAAAAAATGTTTTTAAATAACTATTTCTTCTATTAAGCACATATATTACAGAATATCTCAATGATTAATGAATTATCGTCTTAATGATTATAACTAAAAAATAGTTAGTATTTTTATAATAAAATGTGTATGTAGTTTTATAAAAATAAAATATATTCTCATGACTACGCACATATATATGCGGCACAATAAATATTATATGTTTAACATATTTTAAATACACAGAATTTAATATATCATATTAAGTTTGTGTAATATTAATTGAAATAAAGAACAATAAAAAAAAAATTATATAAAGTAACATTGAGCAATTTTATTCTTCGGAATAATAAATCCGAATAAGTAATGTTTAAATTCCTTATGTCGTTAAAAAAATCATTTAGCACAAATAATTTATTATCATACTTAGTCTTTATACTATTTAAGATAATAAATTTTAAAATGTTGAATTGAAATAATAATAAAAGTATGAATATGATAATTATCTTTCATAATTCAGCGTTTAATCTTATTTTTGTATATGTGTAGTAATTATATAATTTTGTGCACATGTAACGTTCTTATATTACACAACATTATTGTAATATATATATAAAGATGTAAAATAGTAATAACATATACATACATTTAATAATAAATTATATTCATATTAAATCCAATGTAATAAGTAAGATTTCACATTTGTAAACTATTATAATTAAGTATTAATAACGTAAATTACAATATAAAAAATTTATGAAAAAACCATTATGTTTTATGTGAGAGCGGTAAATGTTTTAGAGATCAATACTAAAATATAAATTTGAAAAGTATATTGTATTAAGTATATATAGATTAAATTAGGAGAACATTTAAACACAAATAAATATATGTTCCATCACAAAATTATATATTATATATTTATAAATATTAAATTGAATATTTACATATAATAGCCATTTTACCGTTATAAGTTTTCATATGCAATTATATTATTTATCATGGATTATCACGTATTTTTTATATTTCCTTGGTTATAAATAAACCTTTAATACAACATGTGACTATCAATGTATAATCCATGTATTCTGAAAGTATAGAACTTTCATATCTCAATACAATTATGAAATATGTATACATTTTTTCTAAACTATGCATAAATTTAAACACAGCAAGTTCTATGTACAGCATCAACCCAATGCAGTTACTCAGAGGTAAAATATGTAAATAATTACAATTATATAAACACATTTTTCTTATATTCTCAAATTTATAACTTATTGTATATGACCTCATAACTTTATTAAATGCATAATTTATTTTACAAAAAAAAATAATAGATTATTATAAATATAGAAATAGCAGAAGAAAAATATATGAAGTATACTTATATTTTTCATATTACATATCTAAGTATATTGAACTAATATTAATATATTTTACTAAAATAATCTTTTATTATGTGAAAAAAATACTAGCATTGAAGGTAAATAATCATAAATATATATATTCATACGCGTAGTAACTTTATATATTACATCTTAAGGATTTACTTTATACTATAAAATAATATAACATCAACGCAAGAAATATGTTTTATTTAGGTGTGATTCATAAATATTAAGACAATAAGTATAATAAATATTTTACCTTATCTTAAAGAAAGTAAAAGAAATAACTGTGCTAAATATTATAATATCCTTATTTAAGTATTATTGGTTTTCTTCTGGAATTGCCTACAACATAACAAAATATAAAATAAAGAAGGGAAAAAATGAAAGTATATATATATATTCAAGCTAATGACACATCTTTATGTTATATTATTTTTTTTTTTATAATTAATGAATTAACTAAGTTATATAATTATTACATCAAAGGATTTCTTAATATATTATGTATTCTTGAGAACTATAATATATTTATTTTCTAATTATTTTATGTATACTTTCCTTGTTTCTATTAAGATAATTATCAATATATATTATACAGTACGAATAATTATTAGTGTTTTATATACTATATGATAATAAATCATCAAGTTCATGGATGACATTTTTAAACGAATGATATAATTGTAGAATGGAGAAACAATAAGTATCTTAAAATGATATATCTTTATATTTAAAATTCTACATATACATAATTATATATTTTATTATTTTTTATTCTTCATCTTAAAAACTTTACAATGTCATCTGAGATGGGGGTAAGTGTTGTTCATTTTATTTATAATTATATATATACCTATATTTCATTTTTTCATTTCCTTTTAAATATATTTTTTAAACGATTTTTCAGAAGAATATAATTTTTGTAGTTCTATTATATTATGCCTATATTTAGTTTGGACACTTACATATATTATTCTCCAAATATAAAAATATAATGTATCAACTAAAATCACAAAACAAGTTAAAATATCGGGATGATGATTGTAATAATACTAATAATACATTTGTAAATGATGCTGATTCATATGCTAAAGATTATATATGCCCTTATGCGATGGAATGTATATCTTATATACATAATTATTCTGAAGACAAATTAGAAAAAGAACATTTGATATACTTGTATTATTTGATATATTTATATTTCCAAAAAACTGGGAAGAATAGGAGCTATGTAAAAGAACTTTATCATGAACTCCTCAAAGTGTATAATGGAAGAAACAACTATATCCCCTATATATATGTATACAAAATATATATGCTTGAAAATGAACTAAAAATACTCACAGGTATATGTGATTTGAATGTTATACTTAATGATATAAAAACTTCTACATTTAAATATTGTGAAGACTCAAATATATGCAATTGCTCCAATAAATGTTATGAGATATACCTGAGCCTCCAAAATGCATGTGGATCCTATAATGTACACCCTTTTTGCAATATTTTAAAAACTCTTAGGGAACAATATAATAGTATATCAAATTTAACTGAAAACTGTCTTAATATTAAATGCAAAACTATACCTTGTGACAAAAATGATAACATATATTTGTCTTTCTCCAGAACTAATTATGCAGCTATTATAATATTATCAACTATTGTAATGTTACTAACGCCCATTTTATTATTTGTTTTGTATAATGTTAATTATAAATATAATGTATATATTTATAAAATAATTTTTATAAATAAACTAAAAACAGAAACAAAAAAAAATTTACTATATAGGAATTGTAATTTTAATACGTAATTTTTTTTTATTACTAATTAGTTCATCCCACATAATTAATACGTGCGCCGTGGAATAAAAAAGATAATAAACAAGTTACATAATATAGATGATGAAGGGTATATATAACAGCTTTCTGAAACGTTCAGAAGTATCTCGTGGAATAGTAGTTATGATATATATTATAATTCTATCTAATTTTATCATAAAATATATAATTAGTATAAAATATTTTTCTTAAACCATATATAGAATGGCATAAGCGAGTTACATAAAGAATTCATCAATTAATAAAGAAATAAAAATATTAATAATTCTTAAACTAAAATGAAAAAAAAAAAATATATATTAACTTGTCAATATAATAGAATAATATATCAAAAATTAATAGATATTAGAAAATAATATTCAAAGCAGTTATTATGAATAAGTGTCGTAATTTTCTGGTTTCTATTTGCTTCAATCTATATGCATAAATTCTTTTTTATGGATAATTTAATATTTTATAATTTAAATGATAAATACTATAAATCTGTGTATAATAAAGCATATATAAATTAAATGTTCTGATGATAAGTTAATGAAATTTATATAAAATATTATTCATATATATGATGCTATTTAATGATTTAACACCGTGGAAAACATATTTCTAGTTATTATGTACATCTATATATGAATAATTTTATTTATAATATTATTTTATAAGCATTATAAAATAATATATTTTAATACTAAGCATTTATTATACCTTGAATTTGTAAAAATAACGCGTGAATTTTCATTACATATAAGATTTATTATTATATGTGACCACACAAACTACAATATATTAGCTACTTGTTTCATTAATTTATTTCATACTTTCTACCTTTTTTATTTTAATTTTTTTTTTTATTTGTCTTGTTAATTAATGTCTAATCTTATTATTATATATACAATGCTGTAACAAGTTACATTGCACATACATATTTATTTAAAAAAATAATAAAACAACGTATATATATTAATTGTAATTATGTTAAAACATTATTATGTATATCAAATGTAAAAATCCATTTAATCATATTTGGGTCAATAGTTAGGTCATTTTCTTAGAGTATATATTACATTATAGGTGGATAAAAGAAATAGAAAAAATAAATATAAATCAAAATGTTTAAATGATAAATTATAATAGCATAACTAACAAAAAATAATACAAAAAATCCATTAAGTTCCTAAAACTGTGATTATTAATATGTGATATATTGCATAATCATGAAAAGTAAAAAATATAATAAACATTTGAAAATATAAAATAAACAGCATTTATCAATGATATACATGTTATTATTAAATATATATACATATAATAGCAATCAAATTCTTTTTAAATGATATTTTTTCAAATGTTGAAAATATGTTTGTAATGAATATTTATAAATATATAATTATAATTATATTAGATAACAATTAATCATAATGCAAATATAATATTCTACAACAAATCAAACAATGATTCAAATATAAATATAATATATATGTAATAAAATTAAGCATATTAATTGATTCATATATTTAATAATGTATAATGTGCAAATGATACAACATTAGAAAATGAAAAAACATAAACACCCAAGAACAAAGAAACAGCCTCTATACATAAACTTAAGCCACAAAATCTAAACAACTATCTAACATAAAAATTCACTATTATCTAAATTAATTTATCTTTCTTCATTTATTACTATTAAAAAAATTAAGTTATTCTCTAAAAAAAATCTTAGGAAAAATACATTATATATTTTTATTAATTTTCTATGATATTTTTTTTCTTAAGTATTTATTTGTAATACGCATACATAATATATATTCAATTTTAAAAAAATATTTCAAGGAAAATAAGAAATCATCATTATGTAAATATGATTACCTATATGAAGAGTGAAAATATAAATAATAATTATGTAATATCTATTTTTTTATTACTCACATAATGTAATATATAATATATGTTTTATTTTTCTTCATATTGTATTATCTCCAATGGGGTTATTGAAACGATATAAGTTTAGTAAATGATAATGCTCATAAAAAAAAAATAAAATATGAGGTACAAAAAAGCATATTAAATCTAAAGCTTTCCTCAATTATACAAAAATTAAAATAGGTATATATTTAATACATTCTACAACCATGTCATACTCAAGGCAAGGATGAGATATTTAAAAAAAATATTTTTTTTTTGCAAAAAATATTATAAAAATACTAAAAATGTGAAAGTTAAATAATTGTATAACATATAATGTGTAACAATATTTTTCATAATAAATTTATATATGTCTCAAAGTTATATTATTTTGTTCCACCATATATTTATGAATTTATTTAAGATATTAATTAATATTCTACGTTAAACCTAGATAAAAAATTTTAAAATTATAAAATATAAAATCCTTAATGTATATACAATATCATGCCTATGTAAAAGATATGAGTAGTGCTATAATACATTGTAATACGTTTACGTCTCTATTTATATAAGAATATGAAAAATAATAGACTCTAAATTATAAGCGGCTGTTATTTTAGTTCACACTTTATAAAAATTAATGATTAACCAAGTCGATATAATTTTCACATCATTACTATAATTCAAGCAAAAAAGAAAAATTTTATGTTCATCCTTTGTTCCTTTATATTTAATAATATTTATTTACAAGCTCATATATTTCATTATTAATTTTAGATTAACTGTGTAAATTTACAATCTTATTTTAAATGGAGAGTACAAAGGTATACATAAATTATTATAATCTAAATTTCAACGTAATAATATTTATTCATTTGATTTTCCATAAATATCACAAAAAATAATTTAACTTAAAATATATTGTTCCCATGATATAATAACTAATATTCCTATTATTTTTATCTTTTTTTTCAGTATGGATTTTTGAAATATTTTCCTGAATACGAACAAATCATGGATGAATGTACCAAAAACCCTGAAGATAATTTTATAGGTGTATGTAATTCTTCAGAATACGACGGTTTAACATTATATGCACCCAATATACATGCAGAATGCCCCACCATTATGTCATATTTATATAAAATAAATTATAATAAAGATTACGCTTTTAGTGAACTCGGTTGTAAATACTTGTATTATTGGTTATACCGTTATCTTCTTCTGGAAAAATATAAAAACAGTGTCTTTACGATTTATCATATGTTGCTCTCATTAAATATATCAGTTTTTCAAGGAAAAGAAACAAAAAACATTCTTAGGCCATTATTTAAAGATGAAGATCTTAAAAAGCTCACTGCTGTATATGAATTAAACAAAACCCTTCATTTTGTAAATATTAATTGTGAACCTGAAAATGATAATGAGTTTTGTAGTGAAGTAGAAGGTATTATGGGTAAATATAATCTACAAAAGAAAACGCCAGTTCATGAATCTTTCCAGGGCATAGTATCATCCACCTGCCGAACAAATATTGCAGTTCCCATTTCCATCACAATAATTGTTATGTTATTAGCATGTCTTTTTTTATTCGTTGTATTGAAGGTAAGTTATGATATTTCATATATATACATTTATGATATGAAATAATTTCTGAAAAATATTAATGAGAAATTAAAGATTAACTTAAAAAATTTACATTTTTAATATATAATTTTTTTTCTCATTATGAATTAGTTTACATCATTTGGTTCTTGGATACGCCGTGAAATACAAAGGAAAAGATACATCTGGGATAATACATATGAAGAAAAAAACATTTTCGATGAATCGGAAATGTTCAACACTTCATTAAAAAATATTGAACATAATATTTTATACAATTCTTACTAATTTGAGGATTATATAGAAAATATCAAAGAATTATTTGTTTTTAACGTCGTAGACAATGATGTGACAAAACTATTTGGAGAATATTTCTCTTAGTAACTTCATATAACAAGGAAATCATCTATATAATTTTATAAAAAAAAATAAAATAAAATAATAATTTTCTTATTTATTAGAAAAATTTTCGAATTAAATAATATATCAATTTTATATATGTTATTAAATAATAGATGCATATTGAATAAAAATATTGTAAACATATTTCTTCTTTTCGAGGCTTCATTACGCCATATTTTTTATGAGTAATACAAATTATTGGTGAAAAAAGTATATTAAAAGTAAATATATGATTTACTTTATAGGACAATATTATAATAAATTTACATATTATTAAAAATAATTACAATAAAATCACTATGAATTAATTGTTTCTATTTATATTCTGCTATTATATTACAGTATACTATAGTGAAACACATAAGCAATATCTAAGTATGGATAATAATAATTAAATTTTGCCTCTAATTTATTTTAATGTTTTTGAAATTTATATTAATAATAATCCTACATTTACACACAATATGTATTCTATTAATTTTTATGATCTTTATGTATATAGGTTTTATTAAAAAATAAAAAAGCATACATTTTTTTATATGCCAATTATTTGTTATAGGCATTTTTTTTTTATTGTGTTTAGTAACATTGTTTAAATTCAGTTCTTAGCTTAATGAAATTCATACATTTTTTATTCTGTATATCATCCTCCATAACCCGTATTATGCATGCATGTATATTGATATTAAATTAATAAACATGATATACACTTTTTTTTGTTATAAGAGAAAAAAAATATTAAATTGTGTACATTACATAAGCAATCCAGATGAATATCATTTGCATCACTTAATGTATTATTTTCTTAATGTTGTGCATTTTTCTACTCATAATTATGAAAAAAATAAAATAATTTATAGTTTTAAATTTTATATTTAAATTGTTAACTGTCTATTTTAACATAATTTCTAAAAAATATAGTTACCACTTTGATTACAATGCACATGTAGGGTAAGCAGTTAATGCAATTATATAAAATAGTAAATAAAAAGTTTAAATATGTATTAAAAAATAATAGAAATGTACTCGTAATTTATTAAATGTAAATTTTTTGAAAAATAGGAGGATTATTTATTTTTGTAAAGTACACAAAATGTTTCAAGATTAAAATAAGTTGTGTAAAATGACTTTTGATAATTTTGGGTAAATGATGTGATTGTACATGTTACACTTAATATTGCTTACGACATAAAACAATGGTTATAACATAAATATAAAATATAAAAATATATTAAGTCTAAATAATAACATTTTATCTATTCCTAAAGGAAAAATTGAATTTAGTATTGTTCTTTCTACATTGTTAAATAGACAAAATATAATCTTTTATATATTTCCATAATATTAAATAGTTAGCATTCATTTTTTATCACAAATAATGACAAGTGCAATATTTTTTTAACATTTTGATGATAATGATATAAAACAAAAAAAAAAAAATTACAATATATAGTACACAGTATATTAAATAAATATAAATGCAAGAAAAGTGTGAATGCTCCTTTCAAGCTTGTATATAGCACATATAAAAAATATGAACAAATTATTGAGCACTTAAGTATATAAGGAAAAATAAAATAAATATAATTTATATTTCTTTAAAATACACTAAAAAATAGGTTGAAATAATAAGCCTGTTTTTTTTCCTTTTAAAAGTTACGTAGATAAATAGATAAGCATAAATAAGTATTTCATAACATATTTAAAAATATTCAACAATCAACAACGAATATTTTTATTTATCTTATGTTACATGTTACTACATATATATATAATATTTCTCCCTTACACACATGTGCTCAAATAGGTATTGTTTACTTTAAACTATATCTAGTTTTATATGATCAAAAATATAATTTTTTCATATATAGAGATTAGGCACTATTCAATAAATATACTTGGTCTAATATTATAACAAGAATCCTCTTATATTTCTGTATAAACATTAAACTAATAAATTTCATACGCAGTATATGTAATTTTTGAAATGTTAATTTTTAAGTTTAGTATGTCAAAAAATATAAAATTAGTAATAATCTTAATTTAACATGTATTTATAAATATTTTTTGTTATATACAAATTGCATCAACATTTATTACTTATTTAGATATTGATTATTATATACATATTTATTTTGTCTTATTAGTATAAGCAATTATAAGATATTAATATCTCTATAAATCGTGTAAAATAATAACGTAAATAAATAATGATAATGTATTGCATATAACAGAGGATACTTTGTTGAAATTATGACCCTCATGTAATATTCAATGTTATTACGAATACTATAGTAGTTAATATATAATGAATAAGTCAAGAATGGAATAGTAATAAATATTATTTCTATTGTCTCTATAATTAGAATTATTACTCTTAGATCTTTATTCTGCTAAGGGTATAAAAATTATAATGTTACCCTTTTCCTCCCTTAAAATGTTATAGGAGAATAAAAGGTCGTGCTAAGAAAACATGCGTTTCTCATTTCTTATAAATTATCATAATATTTTTTTTTAATTTCTGTGAGTTACTCTTACATAGATTTCGTGTGACTGTCATTTGCTTACAGTCATATATTTTTCTGTGTTCATAATGTATAATAATATGTTTTTCATACTGATGTAGCTATCATTACACATAATAAGATTTTTATCAGTTTTTGGATTATCATAGACATAATTATATGGGAGAAAATATAATGATGCTATGTTATCTTCAAAGAACTAATCATCTCGGAGTCAATATAAAACAATAAGAAAAGAAAGACAATAACCCTAATATATTATAATAAGCTTATTGAAATGAAATTGTATCTACCATCTATGGGAATTTTTTAATACAATCATAAAAGTTATAACAAAGTAGTTAATGAAAATAATAAACTACGTTTTATAGAAAATGATTTAATATACATATAAATTATAATATATCAAAAATACAACTTTTAAAAAAATAAACTTCTTTTTTGAGATAAAAATGCTCAAAATATATATTTACATATAAAATTCCTAGTACAACAGAAAATTTTCTGAAGATATATTTTTAAAAATAGTTATGTTTAAAAAAAATACTATTACTTTTTATACTTCAATTGGGCATTTTTACAATAGTAATTCTTGAATGTCTTTTACAGGTCAAATTCAATATTCACATATTATATTATTCTTATTGATGTCTACAGCTATATATACATTTTTATGTTTTTATAAAAATTTATAAACTTTATAGTTTTTCATGTAATAAGCAAAAATATAGTTTTTATGATTACGCTAGTGTCATTTGTAAAATTAAAACTTGTAGGCAGAAGTATTATAGACTACCATATTGTTTCACGCATTTTAATATACACTGGTATAAAATAAGTCATGAAAATGTGCATGAGTAATATTAAAATATTATAAGGTAACTAATAATGTATATAATTAGCATACTCATTGTTGTACCTATTCCTTTTTTTTCCGTATATAACATATTATTTTTGTTAAGATTTCATACATGAACATATTACGCATAAGTGTAGAAGAACTCATTTATTGTTAGAACTTCTTATACATACATCTCTCAACATTATATATGAAATTGCAAGAATTATGCTTATTAAATATATATATATTATTTCCCTTTAAATTGCTTTCAACTTTTTTTATAACTCTATTGAAATTAATCTACATAGTAAATCTTACATAGCATATGATCGATTTTGCCTTTTCATACATACATATCTTTATCATTAATATTTCCTCTTAATATTCGAAACTATGAAGTTTCTGTTTTCTTATGCAATTACACAAGAAAATAATTTTTCACATATTTTAATTTAATATTTGTTATGATTTGTTTATCATTTGTTTTCAGGTATTTAAAAATTTCAAACCTTTTGGTCTAAAATTGAGAATAATAAAGTAGGGAAATAAACATCCCTATAAAATAATTTGGCTTATATATACTTTAGTTTTCTTGTCTGTGTTGTAGGTTTTAAAAACAAATATATATATGTCATATAAAAGTTAGTAAATAAAAATTTTAAGAAAATCCCAACTAACAGATTTTAAAAAATTATAATTCATGAAGGTTTCTTAGTAATAGAAAAACTAGTATAGTAATTTATTTTACTTTGCATACACCTTATGTGTCATTTAAGTAAATACTCTATATTGAAACAAACATTTTATATTTATATAACGAAAATAAAGTTCGTTAAACGTAACATAAAATACCGATATATTAAACAAAATAATATATATAAAATGTTCTACAAATCAGCTTATAACAATAAAATTTTTAAGTATAAAGGAATTCACTTAAATGTGCGCTTCTTGTTCATTTTTATGGTATATATTGATACTTCTCATTAATGGCTATTATAGATATTTATAATTTATTTTAGAAAAGATACGAGACAATAACTATTAATTTATTTTTAAAAAGAAATGTCAGATAAATATATATATGTGTAATTATCACATTGAAGTAGATAAAATTTTCAGGTATTAGCATACAAAAAATAACAAAATTATTTCCTTTAATAAATGGGGATATAATAACTAATATAAACGTAAGACGACAACATCATTATGTAATTTATATTTACAAGTTATTTGAAGATACTATATATTATAATATTAATATTTTTCATTCTATATTTATAATATTCTAAATTACCGGTTAGAATATATGTAATATATATGAAGAAAATAAAAATTTAAGTGTTGTAAAAAAATAAGAACATTTTTTATATGCATTATCATTGTTCAGAAGCTCTTAATTGTGTTACGCATATTATAAAAATAATGCAGAACAGAGGCAATATTATTCAAACTAATTTCATTTCTCCAAATTACGTAAAATTATAAATAGTAATTGTTCTAATTGTTGCCTAAAAATATTTTTTTCACAGTTCATGGAAAAGTTATAATTGGATATTTTTTAAAAAATCCTAAAAAAAAAAAAAACTTTATTTACAGAAAAGAGTTCATAATTTTCATTATTAATATATTACATTTATTAACTTCTTATTTTATATATTTTGTGAATAAGAAAATAATTACATGAAAATATTGTCCAAATAGGCATATTATATGTTGCAAACAAATAATACACCACTAATTTTATTGCCTATATTTTTTTTTTTTTTTTAATAGAAAAATGTAATAAAATAGTCAATTGTATAATAAATGAAGAATAAAAATAATATTGTATTAATTTTTTTTGTTAATGAAAAATTTTTAATATTGTAAATTTTTTTTTACTAATGTAAATATTAAACTTATTGTGAAATTTTCCACGCGTTAAATTAATAATCATGTAGGGCATTATTAATAATATTAGATTCTCATAATTTTATAATTTAAAAAACACTTATTAAATCCTTTTGTAACCTTATTAATTTAAAAATATATTATATAATATATATTAATATATTTAAAAATAGACTTTAATTATTCTTATTTTAAACACACAACAACTAATGAGGCCGTTGTAAAGTGAGCATTTCCAGATTTTTTTAGGAATATGTGGAAATATCTAATTCAGTTGATTATAACTATTAGGAATTCATGATTTTTCTATTAACTCTGTTTCTATTATTTTTAATATATATGATTACATATATATTTTCCATCAAAAGTAAAAGGTTTAATTTTTTTTTGTTTGTTTTTCACCTTATTCCTTTATTTTTTTAAAAAATTATTACTAGAATAACTTTTTAATTTATAATTTTTTTAATAATGAATTTATTCAAAACTTATGCATAAGTCAACTAAACTTTATGAGAATACCCCACTGTATTTTATATATTTTTCTAAATTAAAAGTTACCAAAACTATTTTTTGTTTTCCATTTTAAATCCTATTCATTAAAAAATTTGACACATAAAATTTTTAATGTTGTTAATTAAATACGTTAAACATTAATAACATAGAGGGCTACAATAATTAATCACAACATTGTCCTAATATATTTTAAATATATAATAAATGGTAGCCTTATCCTTTTAATAGCGAATATATAATCAACTAAAGAAGAACAGCATGGCAAGGTTTTCCTTGTTTCAATGTTTTACTAAAATCCTTGCAATTTTTTTTTTCGTAGAAGCATACCAATATTACAAGGATAATGTAAAATTATAATATTTCAAATTTCTTACCTTGTTTAATGTTTTTTATTTTTTTTTTTTTTAAACATAATCTCTTAATGTTACAAGCAATACTTTTTTACAACAAATTTTTTTTTATGTGTATTCAATTTTTAGGGATATCTTAATAAGTCAGCTTATAGTGTAAATAAATTGGACAATCCATTTAACTTAAAGGTAAATAGGTTATTATCAGTGTATGATATAAAATATAATTCAACAAACGATGACATAGAAAATAGACAAACGAGTGAAGAGGATATGTCAAAATTAATGATAAATAAACGCTTCAAAACAAAGAGCACCTTAAAAAAAGTGGATACGCACTGTGAAAAAAAATTATTCAAGGATTTTAGTCAAATACACAACGCTATGGGAGATGATAACATTCCTTTATACAAATCTCTTAAAAAAATTTTCAAAACTGTTTTTTTTATATTGGTTGTACCTATGATTACATATTTGGTGGGATATTTTTTCTTACTAAAGGGATATGAATGGAAAATAAATTTAATTAGTGTTTACTTATTTTTTTGTGCTTTATCTATATGTATGCTTATATATATTTTCGTAAAATTTTTAAAGCGCGACGTAGTAAAAAAAGGGAGATTTAGACCAAGATTTCATGATTACTTTTACTCTTTAAAAAATCTATATAAATATAATTAGTTTATATGATACTTTAAACATTTGCATGATATCAAATATTTAATGTTAATTTTGCGCATCTTTAGCGTCTGCGCCTCCCTATCCCAAATCTTGAAATTTTACCCAAACAAAGTTAATATATATATACATATATA